GATTCTTACTGTTTTTTTCTCTTGTGCATAGTGTTTATATTATATTATATTATTTCCCTACTCTTACTGTTTTTATACTGTTTTTTCTCTTGTACATAGTGTTTATATTATATTATATTATTTCCCTACTCTTACTGTTTTTATACAGTTTTATCTCTTGTGCATAGTGTTTATATTATACTATATTATTTCCCTACTCTTACTGTTTTTATACAGTTTTTTCTCTATCCACTTTGCTGCTGTAACATTGGAATTTCCCCATTATGGGACAAATAAAGTAATATCTTAAATAATTAATAATCCAGACACTGAGCCAACTTTTTTTAAGGATAACTTTGGTGCTATAAATCAATATTGTGTCACAATCACAGCAGAAATGTTTTTACTATTTTTGTTTTATTTTGTTAACATTTACATAATTTGTTTTGGTTCAACCGGTTTTATTGTGAAAAGCAGTGGGCGGAAGTCCTGGCCTCGTTTGTCCGTTAGCTCACGTTAGCTCACGTTAGCTCACATCGACGCAGACTTTAAATGGAAACACAACACATTTATCTCCCTTTTCTTCACACCTGAGCACAACCCGGGTTATATTCTAACTTTACGAACTGTCTCACATTTTATTGTCGCTTTAAAAGCTAACGGTTAGCCGCGGTAGCTCGGCGCGTGGACGAAGGTGAGACGTTAGCCTGTTAGCTTCGGCGTTAGCCTGCACAGTTTGTTGTTGTTTGTTGAATTTATAATAATAATAATAACAACAACAACAACTAGCAGAAAGTATTTATATTCAGGAGACTTTAAACTCGATAGAGCGAGCGGGTTCAGTTCGCTGGTGTGCTCATTAAAAGAGTTAGTGAGGTTTTATTTTCATTTAAAGGTTCATACTTTATCTTTGGTTTTATTATTATTATTATTATTATTATTATTATTATTATTATCTCTGTTAATCTACCTCTAATGTTGCTTTATGCTGGAGATATATGTGAATCATAATGACTGTAATGTCAGTTTATTATCCAACCTGTTTTATTGTTAATGTCTAAAAGATGTTTAACTTTAATTTAAATGAGATTAAACTCTTTAAAACTGTAAAACTCAAAGTTTAAAACAATAAGTAAAGGTCGCTGCAGAAAGTTGGTAAACTTTTATTGCGTTATCACCCAGTCCTTCTTATTTAAAAGCAGGTAAAGACAAAATATTACAACTTGTTTCTTATTGTGACTCAGTAAATACTTCAGATTAACTTATTTAAACAGGTTATAGAGTTAAATTAACTTATTTAAACAGGTAATAGAGTTAAATTAACTTATTTAAACCAGGTTAATAGAGTTAAATTAAACTTATTCTAAACAGGCTTTATATGAGTTAAAATTGAACTTATTTAAACAGGTTATAGAGTTAAGATTATGTTCTTCAGATTAACCCTTATTTAAAACAGGGTTTATAAGAGTTAAATTAATGTTGCTTCAGATTAACCTTATTTAACAACAGGTATATAGAGTTAAATAACTTATTTAAACAGGTAACGCAGTTAAAATTAACTTATTTAATACCAGGTGTATATGAGTTAAATTAACCGTCTGTTCTGTACTTCTGTGTTTTCTCACTGACGGTTAATGTACTCACAAACTTCTCCTTTCTTTTAAAGGTTGACGAAATGTCTCGCCCGCGGTCCAGATCACCACGTTACAGGTAAATACCAGGATTTAACTTTATATTATATTATATTTATTATCGGTGTAACTTACCTCTAAGATGATTTACAGTCAGCTGCTTTGATTTTTGTTTATTAACGGTGTGAAATCTTTTTCAGGAGGTTTCCGTGGGAGGAGCCGGACTTTGATCCTTATAAAGTCCTTGCAGAACTGGACGGGGATCAGTTGGACCGGAGCCACCGGCCCAGAGAAGATCCGGAGGAACACCTGGATTACTTCAGGGAAGATATGTACCCAGAAGCCCCGAGGAGATCCTCTCCTTTCGCAGACGACCGACACTTTGTGCATCAGCGGCATCCGAACCAGGAGGAGTTTTACCGCAGGAGGCCGTCGCCTCAACGCGACGCGATGAGCTACAGCGACCGAAGACTTACCCCGCTGCGTGACGGAGGAGCGGACGGAGAGAGACGCAGAGGAGGCTTTAGAGAACACTTCCACAGTTTTGAAAACAGGGGGAGGTCGCCACACACGCCTCCGATGGTGAAGAGGGAAAGGTTGCCGCCGATGCCGAGGTCTCACGCCGACCACCAACAGAGAGAGCCGGAGATGTGCTGGAGGAGAGAGGAGCAGGGTCGAGGTCGAGGGAGGTTCAGAGACCTCAGTCCCAGTGGGAGGTCAGACGACCAGAGAGGGGGAGCAGGTAGGGAGAGAGGGAGGAGGAACACACAGGGTCCTGACAGACGAAGAGAGGAGTCGCATCAAGAGAGGAACCCCTCCTTTAAAAGGCAAAGAAGAGAAACGGATGACGGCAATCACCTTGGGTAAATTTAAAGCACAAAGCTTTGCAGCACTATCGCAGGGAAAAAAGAAAACGAAGAGGATTCTCATCTTCCTCACTGTCGTCATGCTTCGTTTTCTATAATCTAAAGTTTAACAAATACTGCATGGCTTTACGTTTTCTCGCTGTGCAACTTCTTTTGATGCCTAAAAACTTCTGCATGCCTTATAAAGAATATACTCTGATTGTTAGTGCAAAGTTTTAACGACAATATTTGTTTTAAACACTCGTGTTACACTGGTAAAACAGCTGAATCTGATGTTTGATATAGTTACACAAGTCCAAAGCTAATGTCAGGTGTGATTTTAAAACCAGGTGTAAAGATAAATAATTGTTGAACCATGTCACCTCCTCTTATGCTGCCACAGGTACAGGAATGAGGAGGACTTTGGGGAGCAACGTTACTCAGTGGAGACACCCAGAGATGGGTTTGGAGGAGACAGTCAGGGGAGCCTCTCCCGTGGAGAGATTCGACATTCGGGACCACTTGTCATTGAACACGATCACGGCATCGCACACAGCAGAGAACCGTCTCGATGGGAACAGTTTGACAGTCGTGGAGATCTTGACCCTGACTTTGATCGTCAGAGGGGTCCCCGTCCGATGCGCTCCTCTCAAGAGCGATTCAGGACCTCAGAAAGCCGGTTGGATGATCGGGAAGATTCAAGAGGACGACACTTTCAAGATAACTGGAGAGACTCCGACTATCATGAAACTAGGAGGAGCCCAACACCACAAGATAGACCAAACGCCATGAGATATGGTAATCGAGACGGTCCCGTGAACCACAGGGGCAGGGGCGGTTCCCGTCCAGCGAGAGGGGGGTTCAGTCGCGGCCAGGGTGGAAGAACTGGACCGCAGAGGAATCAGCAACACTTACAGCAAACCTCCCAGGGATACCAAGATAATCCTCACGAAGAGCAAAGGTTGGGGTACCGAGCCTTCAGGGAAGATTGTTACGAGGATCCCGTCAAACGGGCGGCTGATTGGTCCGAAGAAACCCGACCACAACAGTGGAAACACGACAGGACTGGAAGTCTGGACCGACACGTGCCGAAGATTGACTTGGACCCTAAAATGCCTCGTCAAAGAGTGCGCGGATGGAGCGAACAGAAACCCAGTAACATGGCGGTCGTAACGGAGGAAACGCTCACCATCAAAGTGGACATGAGCCGACCCGTAAACCAAAACAGGTAGAGTATGTTTGAATCAAATGATCAAGGGTGAGAGGTGAAAGTTCACACTTCTCTTTCTGAAGCTCGTGTTGAGATCGGAAGCTGGTCGAAAACACTCGTCAAGACACAACTTACATTTTCTGCAGTTTGGAAAACGCTGCCAGAGTTCTGTACCGCTGCGTGTGACGTCTTCCCTCGTGGATCCTGTGAGGCACTGCTGGTACAAACATCTACAAGATAATATCATTCAGTCAGGGTACCTGGCAGAGAAGTTCCTCCAGGTAACAACACATTTTTATCCAAAGGTGAAGTTGGCCTTGCATGAAAACTTGTGGATTGACACCAGGAAGAGACACAGCTGCTTTTATTTTACTACTTTTACTGAAGAAGCCCAGAAGAAGCTCACACCTAAAGAAAGAGAGAGAAAGAAGAGCAATGGGGCTGTCTTTGGGTAAGTGATGTTAAACACAAGGTGGCATCGCTCTTTATGACGATGATTTCAGGAAGACGAGACACTCAACAGCTGAAAGAATTAACTGAGTCAACAACTCTCACATTGCCTTTGTGCTGATGCACCGATGACGAAGGATCTGGTCTTCACTCCCAAAGGAAGACTCAGGAGAGCAAATCACCTCCAAAAGCAGACGACTGCCTGAAGCAAAGGTTTGACATCCTGCTCTGTTGAAAACAGGACAAAATAACAATTATTGAGGACCATTCGAACATATTAAAGTTAATAAAGGCAACACTGGACAGCCCACACTGATTGTTGGCAGAAGAGCATCATAACGAGTACGTTTTCATCCCTCAGCAAGCCGAGAGGCAGATGGTAAAGACGACGTATGAGAGGTGGCTCAGGGAAGATTCAGCAGACGTAACCTCCAGTGTGTCTGTGTTTCACAAGGATCACAGAAGAAACAAGTTTGAAAAGAAGCTGATGAGTGAAGAGGAGTGGAAGTGCATTATTATTACCATTATACATCATTTATTTGGAGCCAGTTGGACTGACAATTGAAACCTGTCCTCATTTGACTGCCAACTGAAGGACGTGTGGTCACAATTCTACAAAGATCTCATTTTTCTGATGCTCATTTTGTATTTTACCTTTTTCTCCTTCATGCAACACACGTGTCTCTGGTTGAGCTGGTTTCCACGACTGGCATTTATGATTATCTGGATCACGTGAAGAAGCTTCAGTTGCTGTTTTGTGAAGCTGTGAAGTTTGCGTCTCGTGAAAGAGAAACTCAGCACGGATGAAACCGAGAGAGGAAATGTCTGTTCGCAGCCTTTGTTTCAGCGAGGAAGTCAAACAGCGGTGCCAGAGACGGACAGGGCTCTGTGAAAACAAAGATATGCACGCTTTCGCCGATTAACGTCACAAAACAGTATCACTCGCTTTGTGTTCATCGCCAGAGAGAAGAATCACAGAAAAGGAAATCACCAGAAGTGTGATGAAGGAGAAAATGTTTGGAGTATTTCAACAACATAAATCCAGATGTTTGACAGGAGTTGTTGGTCCACATGCCAGATATGATTTTGGATTAAAAGAACCTGCATACATTGATCAGTTCTGCACTCGGTGTGGAGAAGTGAACACAAACACCCAAACCTCGGTAACATAAATGTTCTGGCACGAGCAGGGAGTATTTCTGCCTTTTTTTTAAAAGATAAACCTCTTTTTTTTAATTGGCCGAATACTGAAATCTGTTTGTCTGGGATGAACAGTTTGTTTAATCACAAACATATTGTGCGAAGAGGATTCATGTTCACTGTACGAAGGCTGAGACGTATCCAAGTTCAGACGGACGTGAACAACTTTTTGTGAGTTTTTGTTCAGCTTGCTGCGAGACTGATGGATGAAAAATCACCTACAGCTCATTTTATTGAAGAATAAAACCTGTGAAATCAAAGTAGCTGGTTAAGATGAACCTGGCAGACGCAACCATATTTTACTGATTGAACATAAATCCTGTTTAAAGACGGATGAACATCACTGGAGCTCAAAGGAGAAGAACATTAGCATCAAGCCAGAAAAGTGGAGAAATGAAAGGCCTGAACATAAACAGTCACTGCTGAAAAATGGAGGGAGTTGAAGCGTCGTCAGAACCGTTTACACAAGAAAGTGAAAGCGTAAAAGTCCTCGATCTGGAAAAGAAGAAACATGAACATCAGTGCTGCTGAAGGAGAAATTAAAGCTGTCAACATCGTCATGAAAAGTGTCATCATGAACAACAATATCCTGTGTCAAAGCTAAGTGGCTCCCAAAGTTAAAGGAGGATCAGTGAAATCATGGAGGAGCTGTGGGTTTGAACAAAGAGCTGATGAAGAGCGGCCAAAGTGGGCTGTGAAAATATCCTCGTACAGTCTGACGAGTCCAACGTCCTCAAAACGAAACGGATCAAACAAGAAAAGAAGTGTGAACTTTCAACCCACATTTATCTCACCTGTCTGTTAAAAGGAGGGGTATCTTTCATTTCTAAGCCTTTTATAAATATCCACAAAGAGATTATGAATTCGTACGATTCTGTGTGATTCAGGGTGAATCCCCCCACGTAATCCCCCTCTTTAGTCTACATATAGGGTGTAAATTATTACAAACACTGTCGGTTGTGGAACTCACGTAAGGTAAGTCCGTTGGGTATGGTAAAGATGTTGCTTTTATTATCTTTTTTTACTTTAATACTACATAAATATTCAGTCTTTCAGGACTTTAAACTATTTATCCACAGTAATTATTGACTTTTGAAAGAGCTTTAAAAGGAGTAAATCAGTTCATATGTCCACAATACACAGAGCGAGTTAGCGTAACTCTCAGCCTTCATCATTCCTCATCACAGCAGCTCATAAATGTCACTAATCTTATTACTTTATTCAAGTGAGCACTCAAACCAGTTTTTGTGTCTGTGCTGGTTTCATTCTTCCTCTTTCTCCTCCTCTGCAGCTCGCTGTGTTACTCCTCAGACAGGCAGCTCTCTTTAGACCTCGTCAATGTAGGTCGCCAACGTTTGGACTTCCTGCCAATGCTGGAGCACTCTGGGACGTATCGGGAGACCTCCATGCACACTGGGACTTTTGCCCAGGAGATCATCACGCTGGTCCACCAGGTCAAAGGTTTGTTGTGTGTTTTATACTGAATCCAGATGTTTTGATGCCTAATTTGGAGATCATTTGCTGGGACACTAAAACATACAAGAGGAGAGATTTGTGGTTTTATGTCAGCATAAAGTTTAGTAAAACAAACGTATAAGTAAAGATGTCAGTACGGCAAACGCAATTCAGATTCAAGACCTCTCGTAAACGTTTTACTGGTCCAAAAATTATCCTTATTCAGTTTATGGTGTCTACAGTCTGAAGTCTACATCCAAGTTACATTACAGTCAGTTCCCCAGTTTCTCGCTTAAAAATAGCTCATACACTAAACTTCCCCGGGGCTCGAGAGGAAGGACGGTGTCTCTCAGGAGCAGCTATTTCCTGCAGCTCTTAAATTATTTGCCAAATTGAATGAAGTTGTCATAGTCTGCCTGATCAGTACATTATCTAATTGACACAGTTAGGATGTGCTATTAACCTGCCTCACAAAGGGTCACATGTCTCTAAACACAGCTCCACTGCCTGATAGAATTAGACTGAAACCACAAATACTTGACATATTTAAGTCCTTAAAGTGTTTCTTTGTCTGCATTTACAGAGCAGTATTTCAGAGATGATGGGGTCACCCTGAACGAGCGTTTCTCAGCTCCCCAAAAAGGCGGCTACTCTGAAGACGAGACAGAGGAGCTGACGTTGGATGAGAGGTTCAGTTTAACCCGGTGAGTCCCGTGATGATAGACAGTGTGCAATTACCATAACAGGTTAACACTGTGCACTATAACATGAGCAGCAGTGACTAAGACAGGGATAAAGTTCTGTGAACATGAAACAAACAGTTTTAATCATTTAAGAGTTTAAAAGTTTCTGTTTAAGTGAATTCACAAACAGAAGAAGACAATAAGAGACAGAATTTAAAAATAGCTTAAAAGGAAAACTGCTGCCAGCCATAAATCTGTAATAGATCAGCGAGGACAGTGAAACCCAGAGGATACTCCCGTAGGTGACCCATGCATCGGGAGCGACTGAGATAGAGAACTAAACGGATGGAGCACGACTGAACATGATCAGGGACAAGGGATCAATATGTGGGTGTGTTGAGAAGTCCAGGAGAGGACAGTAGAAGATGTTTAAGACAGGAAAGTTGTGGGCTCCGGTCGCGAGGTCCAGACATCGATATGCACTCATGATACTGTAACTTTTTATGCTTCTAATTACATTTGAAATGTTTTTAACTGTGAATCTTTATCTTAAAGCTTTGTTTGCTATAAATAAAGTGATGATGTGCTCCTTTTTGTTTTTCCTTCGTCTCTCCAGAGGCTTCAGCTTAAACATGAGCTCGCTGCTTGACGACGACGAGCCTCTGTTCTCCAGACTGGGACCTCTGGTAAATAAACTCTGATACTATCCTGGCATCCTGAAATGATGGAGTGAGAAATGTTATTGATTACATTGGTGATGTTGATGACACAGCCGGTGCGAGGCCCGGGCGACCTGAGGCACGACCTGGAGAGGAGGAGACAGGAGAAGCTGGAGGGGGTTAAAGTCACAATATCAGGGAACAGTATGTCACAGCGCCCCCTGGGGTCAGTCAGGTGAGATTAAACTTCTGACTAGAACAGAATTAATCAGCTGCGGTTGGTGGAGCGGTGCTGTTATGAATTATTCTCTCTAGCGTTCGTTAACTAGAACGTTCTGAAACTCGTGTTCATGTTTCTGTCAGCGAGCCGAGTCTGGAGTACAGTGACAAGGACGAAATGGCTCCGATGGAGGACGAGGGATTCTCCAACTGGCCGGAGGAGCAGAGCAGGAGGCGGGAAGGCAACATGGTGAGTGTTCGTCAGGTTTCAGTGGCGTTTGACCTGCGACCTTTCAGTCTTTAACCTGTCTGTCCTCCTTTTAAGGGACCAAGGAGAGGACCCTCCTTCAGGCCGAACACCGGCCCCCAACGCAGGAACTATCGCTTCAACAACCGGCTCGGACCAGTGAGGCGACAGAACAACCGTAACAACCCTCCAGGTAACTTAATGTGACAGTGTGACTCCTGTAGTCGTCTACCTGAATCTGCAGCTTCACTCGCCGGTTATTGATCGATCAGTCCCGCTCTACATGCAGATCTGAACATCAGGGTGAGCTCTCGTTGCGTAACAGCCCTGCTGCTCTTTCCCCCCGGCAGCGTCACGTTGAGTCTTTAAGGTCGGCTGGGTAGTGGAATATATTCCCTTTGACCCGCTGACCTGTTAATGTTTTAAGGAGGGTTTCCCCGTCCTCCCACAGATCACCTCCTAATCATACCTGAGCTGGTTCCAATCCCATCTTCCCGCCTTCTCTTGCTCCATTCACACCGGTCAAATCCTCTTGTTGTTTCTACACCGACCCATCTGTTAGCCTTGACACACATTTCTCTGACTTTCCTTCGTAGGTCCGAGCTGGTGACGGGACACCGGAGAGGTTGTCCCCGTTTGGATGCTGCTGGTTTGTTGAAGACTTTTATACTGCTTGTAAAAACCAGCCGATGATAAGGAAGTATTTTCTACTTTGCTCTGGCCGGTTTGATTTCGGTCAACAGCACAATGTTGGCGTCAGACTGATGAATTCAACTGAATGTGAAACGATCTGTAACTTCTGCCTACACCTGTCCTTCCATCTTTATTTCTTTGTGTCTTTCTGTTATTGATCTCTGTATTTCACCGTTCACATGTGTAATGTTGATTTAAAACATTTTAATCAAACGGTTGCCATTTATCTGGATAATGTCGGTTTGAGCGTCAACGGCTGTATCGTTAAGAGATCTCATTTAAACAGAGGTATTAAATGTGAAACTAATAAAATTCAATCAGCTTTTTTTTTTCCTGTCATCAGGTCGTTGTTTAGCTGCTATATTGATCTAGTTATGTTAATGAACATAGATGTCGCCTCATATTGATTTCAATTCAATTTTATCTGTATTTGTTTCAGTGTCGCTCTCCACCAGCCGTTCTGTCAGTCACATATCTCGGTGCTGCTGAACTAATAAAACATTTGTCCTTTTGATTTTGGTCCAAGCGTCATTTGTGTGTCAAAGTCAACCGTGTTTATTTATTAGGAGTGAATCTGGGTTTACAGTGAAATAAATCTGTACTTTCCTTACTGTAACAGGTCAAAATGTCTGCTGGTAAAATACCAGATTCTGCCAAAATGTGCATCCACGAACACTTCATTGTACAACTGAGAGTTTAAAGTGTCACTGTCGCTCTTACACGACTCAAATCTGATGTTTTTTTTAATCAAAATTAACAAAAGAAATCTCTATGAAATCAGTTGGATAAAACAATCTTAGGACAAGGTTTGCTTGTTTTTCCCTGAGCTGAGGTTTAATAATGGCGTTTTTAGTCACATGATGTCAGGTGGTCATATATTCATTAAAGGGCATTGAGGAAAATATCAAAACAAAACTTTAAAACCACAAAGAATAAACATAAATCGAGTTTAAATTAAATTCAGTTGGTGAGCTGTGGGATTAATACACTCAAAGAATCGACATCAGGTCACATGATAACTTAAGTTTCTCTAACAACCACAAGATGTGACTGAAAGCTGCAGAAAAACCTCATTCGAAGGCTCAGTGAGGAGGAGTTTCTTTGTCAAGCTGCCATTTGTAAGATTAAAAAAGAATTTTTGGTTATTTTTCTAGAGCTTGTAGCAACTTCAAAATAAGAGCAAAGGTCACAAAACACATTTAAAAGGATTAGTGTTTAGGATTGCAACTCATTTGCTTCCAATGAGGAACAAACTACAGTGGACACAAAAAAAACCCTCAATCTACTGTAGAAACACGGCGATCTACGAGTCTGTGAGGTTATATTAAAGAAATAAGTCAGTTTTTGTCAAATATATTGAAATGAATATTTATTTCAAACCATTGGTGAAAATACATAATAAAAAAAGACATTTCAACACTGACACATTTAGTTTTCCATCAGGATTCTTTGTGTTTGCTGCTCAGTTATGTCAACAGTCACAACATGAAACATTTACTGACACTTAAGTCCCTAAAACTCTTTAGCTCATTAAAGTAAAACACATAAAGACCAAACTCAGTGGTACAGCAGCTCGTGTATTACTGTGGACAAACGTCATAGCAGCGTTTACTGATGAGGTAGCAGCTCTCGGCCCAGAGTTTCAACCCCCCGTCCCCGTACTGTCAGTGTATCTGCTGCGTGAAACACCAGCAGACATTCACACTTCACTTTGGTTGAGAGCTGCTGGTACGAAGGCACACAGAGAAAAGAAACTGTATTTTAAGGTATTTTACCTAAGGAAGGAAAGATTTCACATCTTTTTTAGGACCAATGTCAAAAATGCAAAGTTTTCCAGTCTTGAAACGTCAAGAATGAGAGATTATCGTAATAAATGTTCACATTGGGTAATTGGTTGTAAGTTAAAGATAAACATTAATCCACTTAATCATCATTAAGGAATTTATTTTTAGGTAAGAGTTTCCAAAACAGAAGGAGAGTTTTAAAATAACTTTTTATCATCATCTATAATCTATAATCTGATTTCATTCAGGCTCGGTTCTTGCAAATGCCATGAGGAGCACGAGGAGGACTCAGAGGAACCTGATGTTCTTTCACAGTTTGTCTCAGTTTCAGCAAATATTACCAAATATAATTTTTTTTTATAAAAGTTATCTGCTGCAGCTTTAAAGTGAAGTTAAAGTTGGAGTGAATTAAAAGCCCTAAAAGCTTTAATAAAGTGTATTAATAGTTAAAAACACCAATCATTTGCAACCTGACAGGGCAGAAATTAGAAAAAAAAATTCTGTTATTTTTAAATAATTGCTCCATCAAGAGGTGTCTGCCAAATGTTGTTTCAATAAAACAAAATTACTTAAACGTTAAAGCATTTACATTCATTCTTAGTTCAATATTTCAAAATTTGATTCAAATTTTGTTTTTAAAATCATCCAAAGTTGTGATTCCTTTTGTAAACTGTAAATTCATTAGAGTTTAATGTTTATTAATAATCAATAATTAATGTTTTCTCATCCCATTAACCCGATAATATATATATTTAACGTCAGAAACACACATATAAAGACAGAAATCTGAATTCATTCCTCTGTGATGGATGAGAAGAAGCTGACTCTTGTATCACTGACACTGAGATGATAATGAGACTTTGTAGCACCGACGGTTTCACTGCAGTTACAGAGAAAATGTTTCTTTGAAGTAAAAAAAAGCATCCAGAGATAAAGAGACACTGAATGTGGAGAGAACTGATCTCACCGTGACGAAACTCTTCCCCCGCTGCGTTTCCATAATCTCGTTACAGATCTCACAGCTTTAAGTCCTATCAGCAGCCAACAGCATGTTCCAGTAAACAGGAGTCATCCTCAGCAGCCAGTCAGGTCATCTTCATCATCCACGGAGGAGGCTGCAGCTCCTCCTCCTGCGGGGGCCCCTGGACCGTCCACCCAGGGCTTGGGAGACCCTGTAGCACCCAGAGGACGCCTGATGTGTTCCCATAGAAGATGAAGATGAGGAAGAGGAAGTGAGTCTGCTCGGGGAGTCAGAGGTGAGAGTTGCAGGGTAACGGTCGGAACGCCACCTCCATGTTCTCCTCCATGATGATGTCAAAGCGGCACATTAAAGGCCTGACGGAGAGAACAATGAACAACAGTTAGTCTGTTATACAGTCAGTTAATCTACAGCTATACAACTGTAACTCATCTCCTCTCCAGTTGTGATGCCTTCACTGACCTCTGTGGTCCAGCTTCAGCAGCCCGCAGGCACTGATACACTTATATACTACTCATATATGAGACAATGTGTTGCTCTCATCCTATTTATGTAGAAGTGTGATGGACAGAGTTCGTTGTGGTCTATGTTGTCTAAATGTTCATACATTGGGACCCTCAGACTGGAATATACTACAGGAACTGATCTGATCTCTTGCTGGAGGCTGATGGTTTGTAATGCTCTTTACTCTCTTTATTCTACCTGTTGTAAGTTTTGTTTTGTAATTTACTCTTGTGCTGCTGCCTGATTTCTAACCTTAATGGGACTTTTCCTGGTTAAATAAAAATAAATTTCTTTCCCTTGTGTGACAGCAAACTGATAGTTATTGATTGTTGATCCAAACAGCAACATGAAGGAGGAATCTTTGGCTTTAGGAAACTGTGATTTAAATGTTTTTTTAGACCACATAAAACACTTCTTACACCCATTTTTATAGACTTGTCTTCATGCGATGTCGTCTTTACTTTATTCTATTTGATTTGTTTATTTATCTTTTGTTTTATTGTCATGTCTTTTTATTGCTTTGGTGCACTGCACTGTATTTAAACTTGTAAAATAAAACCAGCATCAGTTAATGTGACCGAGCTCTGGGTTCAGGACCCACGAGCTCTGGGTTCACGAACCGCGAGCTCTCTGGGTTCAGGACCGACCTCTCGGGACGATCCAGCGGTGTGAAGCGTATCCTCAGCAGTCTGATTTTGTAACGAGGTCCGATCACGTTGCCGGTGCAGATGCGGATAGAGATCTTCTGGACTTGCTGCAGATCCTCGTCAAACTGGGCGAGCAGCCGGGTGGAGGTGTACTGCTCGAACCGGAGGAGCTTACTGGGAGCAAAGAGGAGGAGAATTAAAGTTAGATGGTGCTTCAACAGAAGGTTGGAGGTCACTGAAGGGGGAACAGGTAGCCAACATCTTCTTTTTGTCAAATAAAATCAAGAAGGCCTCATGAGCCCCAAGTGAAGCTCTGGCGACCCCTAGTGAGGGTCCCGACCCCCTGGTTGGGAACCGCTGTTCTAACTGAAGGCTCACAGGGGAAACTGGTGTTCCAAGTGATCTCCTGACAGACTTACTGGTCTATCCGGGCCTCTGTGATGTTTCTGCCACTGTGCAGCCGGATGTAGACGACCCCCCAGCGGAGGTACTGGTTCCAGGTCACCATGTCCACTCTGTAGCTCAGCTCTGCCACACACAGGACACAAACAGTATTACAGTCTACCCTTGTTAAATAAATCTCACTCATCAAACCAAACATCACAATCTCAGCAGTGGGGTGAGGGGCGGAGTCTCAGAGTGCCTTTACAGGTAGCCAGCTCACCCTGTGGCAAACTGCTGAGAACAAAAGAGCTTGTTGGCCTCATGTGGATGTCTCCATCCACTCCAAATGTTTGATGCTGTGTATCCTGATACTCTTAATTTCTTTTGGTTAAATGCATTTAATTGCTTTAGTTTTCTGATTATTTGCTGTACTAAATAGTAATACTAAATAGTAAATAGGTTCCAATAGTGTTATTTCATCATTGGTAGGCTTACAAAGTAAATAAATATATCTGTATGGATATCCTTTGTTAAGACAATCCTAATAGACATCCCACTGAGTGAACCAGACTATCCTGAGAGACATCAGTCTACCCTCAAACTAAATATTCTCCAGTAAGTAAAAGTACTAATAACACACTTTAAAAGTACTCCATTACAAGCATTAAAAATGTTACTAAAACCTGCAGTGCTGACCTTCTGTCTCCCCTTGTGGCAGTGAGAGTAATTACACATAAAGGCTTCATGTTCTATGTTAACTATGTTTGCATAAGAATAATCATTTTATAGAGAATCATGGAGCCATAAAATGTTTATTTTTGCACAAACAAAGGAGAATAGTTGAAAGATATTTTGCTGTGAGTCTTTAAGTGAGTGTGTGTTTGACTCACTCCTGTAGGGCTGCGTGGCCGTGGTGCTGAAGAAGACTTTGGTCTGTCCGAGCTTCAGCAGAGTGTCCCTCCACTGGCTGACATCATAACCTGCAGGTGAGACCGCACAGGTGATCAGACCTCCATCAGACCTCCATCAGAGCTCTAAAGTGACCCTGAGGACATTTCAACACCTACCGAGCACAGGACAGGAAGCGGGTTTAAAGGCCTCACACTGGAGGCACCGCCCCTCCAGGAAGTCGCTGTAGGACGAGCAGGGGTAACCTGTGAGGCTGCAGGTTCGGTTCAGAGCGCACAGGAACAGAAACACCGAGCGCTGGTGGTCACACACAAAATAAGATTTACCTGTAGGAGGAGACAATACTGCAGTGAGCGTGTGTGTGTGTGTGTTAATGAGTGTGTGTGTGTGTGTGTAAAAGTGTGTGTGTGTGTGTGTGTGTTTACCTGCGAAGATGGTTTTGGGACATCCTGGTTGATCTGCTCCTCCGTTAGCATAGAAGTCAATGTGACCATGAGCTCCTCTCAGTCCAAATGCTGCACATGAAGAAATACAGAGTGTGTAAACTAACCACTGACTCATGTTGAATCATATATTACATAATAAAATGTCTCTTTAAATATAAATTTTTGATGGTTTGTACCAATCTTGAGTCCTGGACCTGCTGACTACATTTACTATATTCATTTAACAGCTTTAGTTACTTTACAAATTAAGATTTTTGCACACAAAACCTACAAAGAGTTTATAAAATATGGTGTTGATTAATCAATCAAATTAAAATAACATTTCACGGTTCCTGCTTTTTCTTTTAATAATTTTAATGTATTTGTAATAATTTTATCAGTTATCAATTGTAATTTAGATGCTCACAGTTCATGTCGGTGTGAAGTACATCCACAAACATGGCGTCCGAGGGGTCCAGCCTCTCCTCTGGTGTGGCGCTGGTGAACATCGGCCCTGCTGGGTCCAGACCTGGAGGGGACAGGAGCTTTTTTCAAACCTGAAACAGATTTTTTTGGGTACTTTTTAAGTATTTTATAAGCTGTGTCTCGTGTGTTTTACCTGTGATGCGTCCAATCTTCCCCTTCAGGTTTGCTCCTACAAATCCGGCCAGGTGAGCTCCCAGACTGACGCCGATGAGGTGAACTGAGCTCAGAGAGGCTCCTTCCTCCTGCAGACACACAAATTAAATTTAACTATTTCAGCCAATAAAAAGTACTTTCTCCAGTAGAATTTGAATCCTGGCAGTGTGGAGAAACAGCATTAAGACCTTTTATGTTAAGAAATACAGAAAATATAATTAACATTCAAGTAAATGAATACATTGAGAAAAATCCATTGGAGAAAGTTCAGCTTTTGAAAATATCACATCCTGTATTAACTGTCTGCAGCTTTTGTTTAAGATGTCATCTACTAACTAAATTGATGAGTTGTGTAAAGATCTGGGCCATTTACCACCTCGGTTTAAACCATTTTGTTGGAGAAACCCTGAACTCAACTTGCAAATGTCTTAGTCAAGAGGTCAAGTAGACTATGTCAGAGTATTCAGTTTGTTTTAGGTATGAGTTTGTTTGAAGCTGCATTAATTGCTTTTTTTGCCAACTCCACAGCAACCTTACAAAGGAATTGTATATTTTCACATCCAGCAAACACTGAATAACAAATGGAGCCATCTTTGTGTCCAACTAATGAATGTAAGTCCCATATTCCCATAGTCTCCTTTTAGCTCCGTTTTTGGTCTCCACCAACTCCTGAGAAAAATATCTGGTTCTTTAGCTGCTGTATGCCCCCCTATCCTCACCAGCTGGTCTTTAACTGAGTCTGTCTGCTAACAGTAGATAACAGCTGTGTGCTGCTGCTGGAAACACTAAGACTGAACCAAACAGTAAATGTTCTGAAAAACCAAAACTAGGGGCTAAAAGGGGCTAAAAAGGTTGGTGATCTCACCTGCATAGTCATGATAAAGCCGGTCAGGTTTTGAGCCGCGTCCCTCGTGTAGGTCACGGCTGTGAAGTAGTTGAGGTTGGCCGCCCCCTTGTTCCAGTCCACCACGATGATGTTCATGTCCTCCTGCTCGGCCAGCAGGTGGACTATGTGGTTTATCCAGATGGGGGGCGCTCCGGTGGGCCGGTAGCCGTGGATGACGAAGGCGGTGGGGCGGGCGAGGTTGAAAAGCGGCTGGGAGGACAGGTAGTGGTGGTTGAGCTCGCGGCCACAGTCGAGGTTGGAGCGGGTGTAGAGCAGCAGCCGGACGTACAGGCTGGTTCCCATGAAGCAGTGGGACAGGTTGAGGTCTGTGAAGTTATCACAGGACTCGCCCTCTCCGCTCTCTTCCTGGCCTGGATGCAACAACACACACAGAAATAGCTGAGAAATGACATTTAGTAAGTCATAAACAACCTAAATACCACCAGAAGAAAACAAAAGACCAATCCAACATTATATGTCAACCAAATCGTGGGGGTTGACCTTTCTCAGGAACCTGCATTCCTTATACAGGGAGAAGATATAGATACCAAAAACCAGGCATATTTACTCGGGGTGTTGCTGCTGATAGCAAAGAAGATGAAATGTAAAGCCACCGACTGTTCAACAGTGGAGGGAGAGGAAGTGGTCACCGGTAATATTACAGTTACAGACTTACAGTGATTGATTAAAGAAGTTAAATGATGTACTTTGATGTGAGACATGAGTACAAACCTTTGCTTTACCTAATTATAACAAAAGCAGCCAAGCTCTGGACAACAACAGCTGTTCTTCAGAAACACCTTTGTCTTTATCTGAATGTTTGCTGACATGTTTCACCTTCTGACCCTGATCTTCCACCACCGCACATTTCATCCTCTGCACAGATTAAAAGTCTAAAGTCTGAGTTAAAGGTTCACGCTGTCTGACTGGAAACGCTGGGGTCAATTCTGTGTCTGGTAAGTGACGCTGAGTGTAAAGTGGACCTCTTTAGCTCTATGAAGATTAAGCGGGCCAGTCAGGGTAACATAGAGTCTCTTTAGCCTATTTAAAGTGTCTTTAGCCTGCATGCACGCTGGAGTATCCAGATTGAAGGCAGGCTGGTTGTTGTTGTTTTCTGTTTTCCCCCTAAGCAATTAATCACTACTGACTGAATCTGACCTATCGGTTGGTTAAATATTCACAGAAGACCTCAAACAAGTCTTTCCTGTAGCAGGACACCTCAGGGGGCAACGTCACGGTTCTAACAAGGACTATAAGTGTAAAAGAAGAAGTCTGTTCAATTAAATGAAGAGAAATAATTGAAATATTCAAGTAGATTTAGTGACGACTGCTGGGTCAATCTAGTTAGTGTTATCCTTTTAGTGGTCAGAGGGTAACAGGCCTCAGCTCTCTGTTTATTTACTCTGATTCAGTCACGTAGTGTTCTCAACGCATCTTCAAAGCTACTTCTGTAATCTCACAGATGTCCACAGTCTGCTCTGCTCTTCTTCTGTGGTGGACGGTACTGTATGATAAACGGTTCTGTGGTTAAAAAATATATGTTGATGATGATGATCATCAACATATATTTATAAGGCATATATAAGGCAGACATCATCTCTCCAATATAAAGGAACCAGATGGTACTGGACTTGTGGGGCTTAAAACACTGAAAGAAACTCAACAGCAATGTCTTTTTTAGATATCTTTTGGGGGCTTTTGTCCACCTAGACACCAGACTAGGACACCAGCTCTAAGGTGAGCTACCAGGGCGCCCCAGGTATGTCTCTTTCTAGAAATTACAACCTGGTTACTCGAGATAATCCACATAACTTGTTGTGAGCAGTTTCTTGCAGGAACTATTTTCTTTCTATGCACACAGGATGTAAATATTTATGACGTCCTCAAAGATGCACTCCTCCTTTTGTTGCAGTGATTCGTTTGGCAGGTCTAGTAGAAAGAAAGTACTTCCTACCTCAAACTGCTCACAACAAGATCTGTGGATTATCTTGATTAAGCAGGTCGTGATTTCTGGAAAAAGACATTGCTGTTGAGTTTTTTAAATGCATTTGTACTCTTTGGAGAGCCATCTGGTTCCATTATATTGTAAACATCTTTACAGCTGATATCTCCAAAACTCAGCAACTCACACCAAAAAAATCTAGATGGATAAATCACTCTACAGGTAAGAAGGGGAATATGTGTTGTTGATTTTAGGCTAAACTGTCCCTTTAAACATTGTTTTTTTCCCTGGACAGACATTTTATCAGATTCATGGAACAATTAAACAATTCATAGATTATTTAAATATTTTAGAGGCCTGAAGGTAAAATTGTCTTGTAGAAAACTGATTAAAGTGTGACTGCGTATAAATGCACAGGTGGTAAAAGTACACATTCTGTACTTAAGTCACTACACACTAGTACTGATGTGTAAAAGACCTCTGGTAAAAGTACTGATTCAACTTCTTTTCTCTGAAATGTCCTTAAGTATAAAAGTAAAAGATACTCTCTTGGTTTCTCTGAAGGACATTTCTACCGGCTGTTTCTGTACGAAGCTGAAACTTCAAATGTGGTTGAATCTTCCTCTCTTGTCTGTTACATAAGCCATGTGGGATATGCACTGGCCTTGATGTTGGGAAGATGTGCAATGATGCAAATAATAATAATAATTGATAATTCCCCTCAGATGTGAGTATAGATATTTGTGTAAAAATATAGGGATAAAAGTTGAATAAATGAATCCTGAAAGTACAAAAAAAAAACTTCTTAAGTACAGTAACAAAGTATTTGTACTTCCCACGTCTGTATAAATGTAAGGACAAGTGCAAGTTGAAAATTGTTTCTCACTCAAAGTTTTTATGTCCACAGGTCTGTATCCTTTTAAAAAAAAAATCTTTTGTACTAATGATTCAACCGGGAGGGTTTTCTAACATTGTCTGTGTGGAAAAATTAATGGGATGTTTATTTCTGGAAGCAGGTGCACCAAAAATAACTCCTCCCACTTAGCAACTCTTCCTCTTTTAGCTAAACATGCAGTGCGAGGTGGATGGATGATTAATAATTGGTTACCAGAGTCATTTTTCTGCAAGTTACAAGTCTTCAAACTCGAGTCCCAAGTCCTTAACTTTGAGTCTAACTTGAGCTTTGCACTCTTCACCAAATGTAATGCCACGTTAAAAACAGAATGAATTAAACTAAAATATCTTTCTATCTATAACTTTTCCAACTGGCGCTTGGTAACGTAACGTTGGTACTTCGCGGTTCTCTCCTGCAACTTGATTGGATGCTGTCAGATTGGTTCAAACAAAGTGGATCCGGAGAATTAAGTGTCCAATTTTGAACAGATTAAACAAATAAGATATAAGGTGTTAATTAGTGAGTTTTAAAGGTGCTAGACAGAGACACACGTTACTGGTTTCCTTAAACAAGGTCTGAAACCAGGCTACCCTGGGCCATTATTGTAACCCGGTCTTTTTCTGTAAACATCATATCGTAGTTGGAGGGGGGTGCAATCCACGCTCTGCAATTAACTCACACTGCAACACTGCAGTGTGAGTTACTGCCCTCAATAGGATCAGGCTGCTATAAAAAAACACCTCATCCCTTCACAACCCACCCCACCCTGAACACAAGAGGGTGGCCCCAATCCAGCCCCAAACACACACACCAGTAACCTATGTATATATATACATGTATATATATATACAGTACGTGTGTATAACCGCCAGACAGAAACAGGCCTTTCCATTTTAAACTTCAAAGTCGAGCAGTTGGGGGGGTTGACTTTAAGTAATTTGCTCCTTCCTACACTCCTACACTAAGCTGTTTCTGTCTGCAGGCACACACACTTTTATTGTCTGTTTGTGGGTATTTGGAGTGCAACACAGTTATTATTGCAGGATCAATCCCTCCTCAAAGATACAGACAGCACTGGGAGCAGATTGGAGCTTTCACAGTAAACTTAAAGTTACTATTTTCTTTGATAAAATAAACAGAAAAGTTGGTGTTTCTCTTACCGTTGCAGAGCATGAGGAATCCCAGCAGACCCAGGAGTCTGCGGGGCAGCATCCTTCCTTCAACCGCAGGGACGTAGAGGGAATGATCGAGGTACAGAGTCAGACAGAGAGAGAGAGAAGGAGCTCTGAATGCAAAGTGAACGAGGGAGTGAGTGAAGGGATTGTTGTGAGAGGGAGGGAGGGAGGGAGGGAGGAGAGGAGGTGTCTTCACTCACAGTAAGGATCTAGAAGGATGGAGAGGGAGGGAGGGAAGAGGAGGAAAGACCAGTAAGAGAACAGGAAGAGGATTTCACAAAGGGAGGAGAAACAATGTATGAAATGTGAAAGAGGTCGATGTATGATGAACCTACAGAGAATTATCAGCTGAATCTGCAGCTCTGCTCAGCTTTACGGGGCTTTATAGTGAATTTCAGCTCAATGTTTGGCTGTTCGGCCCATTACTTTACTGTTATGGTTCACTCTCAGCGCTGTGTTCAGTTCAGCTCTGATAACCACTGAATCCTACACATTAATTATATCATCATAATCATAGGGAAATCTAAGTAAGAATGAATTTATAAAACAGTAAATTGTGCATATTTTGAGATGATCTACATTATCTGAGTCCCAAGCTGGTCTCTCTCTGTGCCTTTAAGTAGTGAAACTCAGCTCCTGTTTAGCCTTTCAACCATTGATTGTGCGGTTTCAGTGCACACTCTTACATTACTGACTCTGTTTTCAGTCTCTGGATGTTAAATTACATGTGTTCATGTTGAATTGAGTGAGTACAGGGCAGGATGGGCTGGGCGCAGTGTGGTCAGAGGCTGTAGAGCTATTAATAACCACGACTGGTGTGGCTCCAAGTTTTGATGGCACAGATTTACCCACAATCATTCTTCAGCCTCACTAATCAGTCATGAGGAGTAGTAGAGCTGAGGGCCACCTACCAGGGTTTTTTATTTGGTTTATATTTTTACCCTCCATTCTCTACAAACTCCCTGTCAGAAACCTGAGGGGTAAAAACTAAAATATAGTGTCTAAAGAAACACAGCGAGAAAGTACACAAGCATGACTCCTCCTTATTCTTTTACTTACACATTTATAAGATATACACATCCTCTGGAGACTTTTCTGCCCTATTAATAATTTATCTCAATCCAGAATCAAACAGGAGGTTCTCAATGTGTCTTTAAGTTACTGAAAATAATTTAACTTTTAACCATCACTGTGGTTTGGATCCAGTTCTTCAATGGGCGCACAAATCAGAAAAAAGCTTCCAGTCTCCTAAAATATGAAGTTTTGTACAGAATACAAACTTAAATAAAAAATGAAGTGAGGCGGGCAGAGAATACCGTTAGGCATCACTGTCGCACAAAATTAAAATATTTTCTGCCCTCCGCAACAGAATTTAAAACCGGATGTTACGTAGGTTAAAATCTCAGTAATTAACAGGTTGTACCTTGTTTGTTTAATCTGTATCAAAACCAAAGTGTAAAAACGACGACAAGATGTGTTGTTTCCGGGGATTTATGCGTCCGGATTAATGAGAGATTAAACCTTCACCAGCCCAGCTATTTGTAAAGATGATGATTACGTGTTTGTGTCTTTATGTCCCCTGCTGGTCAAAAATAAGTTACTTCCAAATCCTCCAATGGTTGCCTCTATTTTCATTGAAACTAGATTGACCACCTGCCAAATGTATTTTCATTAAAAGTAGCGTTACATGCTAACTCAGTTGTAGAGAGGGTTGTTTGCACTGCATCACCAAACAGTATCAACTTTTATAAACAACAAAAGAAGAGATCCTGTTATAAATTAGCAGTATTTAAGTCTGTGCAAGTGTCTTTGTACATTGAATACAATGAAAGGAAAGCAAATCTGTGTGCAAACTGAGGGAAGCTCTAAGATACTGCAGGTTTTCGTGGTGCTCTCTGTGTGTTTTAGGGGGTCTCTGCAGACCGGGACTGAACAGTGATCTGCAGGTTAGGAGCCAGGCAATAAGATCAGTGTAAGGTCACAATGTCCTGGCCAGTTAAAGAGCTTTGCTTTGAGGTCACGTCCCCTCATCAGTCACCTGACTTGGCAAATAGCAGAGGCCAGTGTGGATCGGCTCCAAGGGATTATAAAACCAGCAACGTGTGGTCAGTTCACTGTTTCTTTAAAAAAAAAAAATCTTCACTCATCCAGATAAGGTTGACGGACTGGAACAGCTTCACACTTTCATAAGTTCACTCGTCTGTAAATACAGTAAGTTAACAAAAACAACAATTCTTATTTTCAGGTGATTTAAACACTAATGAAAACATACCTATGAATATTATATTACATGTAATGTGTACGGAGTTGAAGTTTGCAACCAGCTGATAACTTCACTGGTTCTTCCTGATTTTATATCTTTGTAATAGTAACTTTACATAGAAAGTAAAGGGAAAAATAGAAAACTGTACAATGCATTCAAATGCTCGCTCATTTTGTTTATAGTCGCTCTTCAAAGCCTGACATCGGATCTGATTTCATTTGAAATCAATGAAACAACTGTGTGTGTTTACCTTTTGGTCTAACTTTTAGTCCTGGTATCTGAATTTATTTTCCAGTATTGTTTTCAGTTTTACAATTGCCTCCAGGAAAAAACCTTCAAAAGATAGTTCCTTTCTTTAACTTTACAGTGTTTTACAGGCAGCAACTGTAAAATATAAATCAAATTAAACTTTTTATCTGAATGTGAGATTCCAGGTTGAATAAATAATCTCTGTAATCATGAATCTGACTGGTTGAATTCAGATCAATTATTTTAAATGGCTTCGGGTTAGATGGTCACATCTTACTTTGGTGTTGGTGTGATTAAGGTCAGGATAACGATGGTGGAGGAACTTCGATGCAAACCAACAAAATGTCTATCAAAGTGGACAAATGTTATCAGTTTGGGTTCAGACAAAGAATAATAATTGGCTTCTGCAGTTAGGTTAGAAAAGGTCAAGAGGGGATGTTCTATAATAGGAGTCTTCAGCTAAAGCTGCTGAGATAATCACAGCTAAACTGTTGAACCTGAACATATTCATGTCTCTGGTTAACTGCAGTATTAGGTAATGATGATGGGATGATCCAAACATGAATCCTTTCTCTCTGAACCTGTGGAGAACCATCCAGCCTCTGAGCAGGAAGATTCATAGGTCAGAGTGCAGGAGGTGGAAGATGGATACTGACTTCTTTAGCACGTGTTTGTTGTATAGTTTGTATAGTTTGGGTAGATTTGGTACATTCATCGTCCTAGAAAACCTCGAAAATCAGGAAATTTAGAGACTAGTTTTTGAGACCAGAACACCTGGAATTTGACTAAAATTCCTGGAAATAACTTCTGTCTTCCTGGAAATGTTTAATTGTATTTTAGTTCCTCACTCAGATCACTTATCTAGGTGCATATTTAGTTTAAAACTCAACTGTTCTTAGATAAATTCTGTTTGATTTAAACTGTTAATGTTGAGTTGTGGTCAAATTAATGTTACTGTTAAAGTAAAACTGTTATTGCTTCTTTTACTTTAAAGTCCAATATGTTAGATTTAGGGGCATCTAGCGGTGTAGTTGCAGGTTGCAAGTCACTTACTTCACCCTTCCTGTCCAAGTGCGAGGGAGAAACTAGGCCTCAAGTGGCATTGACTTAATTTTGTACTGTAAAAAAACCTTAACAAGGAAGTTGGTGTCACTTAAAATTATTAGTAAAAGCTGTTTAATCAAGAATCTTTTTTAAGTTAAAAAAAACTTAGTTTGTGTTACTTTTTGATGTAATCAGTTTCAGCTATTTTAAAATAACTTAATGGATTACAGTGTAGTTAACTTGTTGAAGCAAGTGTGTCCCATAAACATTGACCACCTACCTGTAATGAACCTGAGACACATAGTCATTAAAAAAGAAGTCAATATTAGGACTACCAATGAATTATATAACCTTTTGTGAGCAAGTGCTGTCCTGTATTGTCAAGGCAAATTCCTTGAAAAGGTCCTGGAAAATGATTTCTTAAAAAGATTGGAACTCTCTCCTAACTTCCCCTCAAGTGCCACCATGAGGTTGACATTTGTTCATGTTGCTCACAGGATGAATTGTTATTGCCTTTAAGTTCAATAATTGGGTTTATGACCAAATACCTGCAAAGATAAGAACTGTATTTAGCTGGAGGGAAGTAGTTGTGCACAACGTAGGTTCCAGATATCCAAAATACACAAAATACACACAATGTGACGGCCCTTGTGGTTTCCTCTGGGAGTTTGTATCCGTTAATCTGTGTGTTTCCCCTGCAGGTGACTGATGGCAGTAACTCAATGTACCTTGGCCCAGTGTCCTGAAATTACTTTAAACCACGACTGCAGTCACTCTCTCTTCCAGGCAACCTGCTTTTGGTTTGGTTTGTTATGTCATTGAGTTATTCATCCTGCTTTCTGCACGCATACACTCACACAATTATTTAAACCTACAAACTAAGGATATAACATTACTCCAAAGTAAAAGCCAGATAAAAAAGATGTTTCACATAAGAAACATTTAAAAATTAAATTAAAGAAAGTCTCTGATGTATGGAGGAGGAAGGTCATTTAAAGCTTTTATTTCACCTTTAATTTGACTTAATTTGAACAATTTATTATGAAATAAAGTTTCTTTGTTTTAAATATGTGACATCGTTCGTCTCCCTTCCTGAGTTTGATCCCGATGCACAATGCCAACAATATAAACAGGGTTAATAATAAGGATTATATGTGGCTCATATCTCAAGTCGCTTTTTAGATAGTTCTTTGTTTTTAGGATTATAATCTGTGATGTTCCTGAGGCTCAGTGTAGTACAGGAGTCCAATCTATGATATATATAAATATATACTGCTGTGTAATAACCTGTTGAGCCTAAAAATACTGAAATCAATTAATATTTTCTCAGATAAAGTGAGTTGTGGAGTCAGATACAAGCTGCAGTTTGACAGTGAAGCTCCACATTTGTAGGTCAGCTGACATTGAGGCCAAGTTTAATGAAAAAAAATAAAAATCCACGCTACGATTTCATAGAATTAACATCTATATCACACCACTGA